TGCGGGCGGGATCCCCGGTCTTGGAGATGAGGTCTTTCCAGTATTCAGAGAGCTGCGCAACGCATGAGTCAGTGAGCCATGAATTACCGGAGGCATGTCAGTACGTCTGATCCCGACTCTGTCTCACCTTGTTGGCCTTCAAAATGAAAATGTCCGTAAGCTCTCTGATCTGACCTGGACCGAAGGCTGGATTCTATGAAGCGTAATCAATGTCTACACAGCTATGTGGCACGTAGGCTTGCGCACGGACCATGACGCGACGCTATAGGGAACAGCGCGATCATGAATTATCTTGTACGACTTGACTCGCGATTGAGAGGACTATCTTACCTGTTGGTGGTGCTGGTCGCCTGAATGTGGCGTCAGTAGCGCAGTGGTGCCCGGAAGCAGAGACCATCACCTTCGACAAACAGCAAACCTGTGGACCATCCGGTGAGGTACTCAGGTATAACATGTCAGATGAGCTGAAGTACCTTTCCCGAGTAACTGAGACAACGCAAAGCGAACAGGCGCCGGCTTGCAGTAGTCAACTGAATGACTGAGGATATGATTGACGGCCCTCGTGTCGATGGTATACAGGATGTTGGCCTGCCAATATATCAGCTTATGATGTGTGCGATATTGATAACAGAAGCTCACATTCAACAAGCCCTTGTAAGTGATCGTGTTTCCGTACTGCTCTACCCAGCGCTCATGGAGTGAGCGCGCTTCAGCGGCCGATATATCCTTGAGATTGCCATACAACCAGCTAGAAGATGGCGGCGCAGGTAAGTAGCGCAGGCTAGACCTGTAGGGAGCGGCGATGATGTGGGCCAGCTTCCATAAGGCATACACCACAAGGACAGAGCAAACCGATAACAGGTATACAGGGGAAAACAGCCCCGGGCCCGGGTGATAGGGAATGTGGATGTCGATCATGGCTCAACGGTGTGGGATCTGGGAATGGACGCGGGCTTTATGAGGATCGCAACTGCGCGCAGGCACTGTGCACTTTCGACAGCGCTAGCGAAGCAGAACACAGCCGGGCCTGAACGCGTCCCATTTCCGAATCAAATTGCGGTCCTATGATGAATGTGCGATGCCTGCCTCGGGACTGCGGGGATGGAGTATTCTGCCTCTGGACTTTCCGAGGCGATGTCTCCAATCGCCGCGTTGGTTGGACGGAGTAGATGTTGACGATGCAGATCAAATGCGAAGATTGGGTGAGGCAGGCCACTTACACGGTATACAGAGCGTGGTACTTGCATATAGACAGCTTCTATTGCATGATACTCGTGATCATGATCACCTTGTGGCCTAGGCTGAGTATACTTACTAGGGCGCGACATGAAACTCTCAACGTCTCGCTCCCAGTATCCCGTTGACTCCGAACATTCAGCTGCTCCTTCATATGTGCAAGCAACAAGATCAGGCGCCTCTGCGGTGTCAGAGTTGATCCATACCGTGACACTGACATGACCGGAACAGAGTGGATGGGTACGGTTGACGCCCATTCCCAGCGGCACGGAGGATACAATCCGGACAGGTCGGATAGGACGGGAATTGTACCGCCGTCCCGAGGTACGGCAGCTTCCCGAACGGGCCGCATGAGCAAAACATTCAGAGTCAAAAATCTCCCGTGGGAGAAGGCTAGGCTCGAATGGTGGAGTAATAGTAGCATTTCCTATGATGGACCAGAGCCTTGCGATGGGTTGTTGCCGCCGGCCGGTGAACAGATTCGACGCCCGCCCGTCATGGTCTAGGTGATAGAAATGCAGTCATCAGACCGTCGTACTTTATCAGCGACGTTACCGCGTGCTGTCACAGGGATCCTGGTTGGCGTTGGAAGTTGGGCGTTGATTCTATGTGTGAAAGCTGTAGTCTCGTGTTGGCTGCGGTCGTCTTTGCTTTGAATTCCAGACTGAGTTCTCGTATTTCGTCGCACAAACAAACGCTTGGCACACGACACGTCTTCCGTAACGGAGTGAGGGGCTCCTCCCACCACGGTCGTCGCAGTAGACTGTAGCATTCGTTAAGTAGTGTCATCTGGAGGCTTCGAGAGAAAATCCGTACCTCGTCGTCGTATGTCGGCCCCTCACAGCCAGAAGTAGTGTAAGATGCCCTTTGCCCAATTTGCAATTTGCCACTCTACAAGCTTGTAACGACGCTGAAACCCATGTCCTCGGACATACTTTGAGTGGCAGAAGGAGAGGCCAGGGAAGCAATTCGGACGAGAAGTGGCGGGGACGGGATTGTTGAGACGGTCACAGTCTACGTGGGCAATACGCATAAGCTCAAGCGAGGGCAGCACCAATGCCCACCAGTGGGCATGTTTTAAATCGGATATCATGGAAGAGGTGGGGCGGACGCTATGCATTGACAAGCTTCCTTATTAACAATCGTTCTGAGCAAACCACGTACTCACTCAGTCTATGAACCGATAGCATCTCACATCCCGAGTCCCGTGCGGCCACTTAGTCCCCTCTAGGCAGACCCTGAATGCGACCTTGTTGAGTGGGGGGAGGGTGGCCGTATAAGGGCGTCCACTGGAGACTCGTGGGGAGGGGCAACGCCCGCAAGGGCGAATCTGTTTGTTCGTGTTTGGGATTAGTGGCATTGGTCGCGAGAGTGGTAGAAGCACTGTATCACAAACATGAGCTCCCTCAGATGCTTTGGTGTCCGCGGATGCAACGGGATTGAGAGCCATGAGGCCATAGAAGGTTTTGTTAGGTTACATGGACGAGAATTCCGATTTAATGAGTGTGGCTCATGTGTGTTTCCTCAATCATGGAGTGAAAGACAAATATCCACACAATGAAACCACTAATGAAACACTCATACGTACTCTCGCAATATATTTGTCACCAATGACCAGGCATGAATGCCTTTGCTTCAGGTTAGATACACGGTATACTGATAGGCACGAAGACGCGCGAGATGTCTCCGCCACAAACGCGTCGTACGGTCACGTGAGCAACAACAACGCGGTTACCCGTTCATCTCCATGCGCGTAACAATGTCCGTTCTCTCTCAAACATATCTCCTTTCGATAGGTGAGTTGAGGTATAAATGTACCATGGTCCCTGAATTTAATCGGGAGTTTCCTAGATTTATTCTGCGCTTAATTCGTGCCCTGAAGTTCAGCTACAGCATAATACACCAATAATCATCCTCGGAGACGCATACATCATTAGCACGAGTATGGTGGCCAAAGGAACATATAAATCATGTACTAGACCGAGGCGGAAGGGACGCTCTTCAGCACAGAAGGCAGCTGCAGCCAAGGGAGCTCTGGCTAGTAGAGCTCAGTATCATGGAGACTCAGACTCAGACTCGGCACTGGCGAGAGAGAACATACCTGTAATGGGTTCACAGTCATCTGGGATGGCTATTTTTTCGGAGTGGAGTGTCAGTGATATAGGTTACTTCCTTGCCAAGTGACAAACAAAACTCACTGTCATGTAGAAAGCTGAGATGGAGGACTTGCCGGCGCATGATGGGACTCAGCACTGGCATAAGCTTGCCGAATCGAGGAGACAACTGCACAACAGTCAGCGACGAGAAGCACGTATGAAGAAACGAATGAATGTACTCAAGGACAAGCTTCGAGTCAAGACAAATCTTCATGCATCTGTTGAGAAGCACAACACCGAGTTAGAGGGCAAGATCGTGCATCTTCAGCAGGAGGGGCACGAACTTCGCACGACCCTGGTCGGAACACGCAGCGCAATGGTCGATAAGCTACGTGGTTGTCAAAATACTATTCGAAAGCTTCGCAAACGCAGCGAGCGTGCACCCCGTGTTCTCGCGAACGCGATTGAGAGGGCGAAGTCACGGCCAGCGATCTTTCGTTTGAAGCGGAAGGGTGTTTACACGCCAGCCGCGCGGTCGCTTGCGCGCATGTTGGTGCGAGGTGGATGTTCACAGAAGAAGGTCGGAGACGCCATGCAAGGCGTTGCGGGAGCGTTAGATGTTCGACGACACCTGTCACGAACATATTCGCCGCGAAGCACGTACCTTCGACAGCAGTGGCCACGAGGCCGAGCGCCGCAGACGTCAAGTCGAGCACGATCTGGCAACTGCTCAGCAGAGATCAGCAGAGGCCGCGGAGAAGAAGCGCAAGGAAAATGAACGGGAGGCCAAGCTGCGTGCAGTCAAGTTCGTAGTTGACGAGGAGGGCCTGGCGAAATTACGCAGACCTGACATTGATCAGCAGCTTCAAGTCTATCGGCTCGACGATAAGGAGACCCCCGCACCTTCGTCTTTGCACAAGAAAAAGGTCAAAAAGCCCGAGGCATTACTAGAGCTGAGGAAGGCGATTGCGCGTGCAGAGGCCCGCCGTACACTGGCTCTTTCGAATACTGCTACATCTGAGTCAGACAGCATTACAGCGAGTTTGACACAACGAGCAGGGGAATCCCACATAGACTATGATAATGACTCGGACCTAGATTGTTAGACTATAACATACATTTTAGTATAACGTACTCGTAATTTACTCTGGATAGATGTCTTGCCTGTAGAGCTTGAACGCGATCAGTGCGATGTATACGCCACACCAGCGCCACACGATCGAGGTCTGACCAAGTTTGCAGTGGCGCGTCGCTGACTAAGCGGCCACGGGCGTCGCAGGGCTTGCCCCTCCCCATGGAGAGAACCACCCTACGAGATCACGCGTCTTGGACGCTGCTGCTTCGCCATTGTAATGCTATACATGGGTCAGCGAATATGTTGTTGCTTCGCCTGACGGACACGTAAAAACACGTTCGAAGGTTGGAGCCAAGGACGGCAAGTGATGACGAACGGGTCGACGATAACGGCGAGGAACGATGCTGGTGGATTTCTTGAAGGCGAGCATATCTGCTGCCAACAGACGATGTGGGTAGGGAACATTGCGTTGTCGAGTCGGGTGGGCGACTCGACGTTGTATTATAAGTAGTCTCCCGTTGTGGATCTGCAAGACGGGCCGGCAGACTCAGTGTCACTGAACGCGTGACGTAACGCGTTCTGTTCCCGACTTGTTACCAGCCGCGATCCTTCGACCTTGCCTTGACCAATTAAACCTAGTAAGTGGGCTTCAGACTTCGTAAACATGTTGTGACATTTGTTGATTTTTGACTCCTGGTAGCTATGGAGCGTGTCAATTACCCGGCGCAGCATGACGACGCGTCCCCTCAAAACCCCTCTGCCGTGCCAGCCAGGAGAACTTATGTCCGCGCGACGATCTTGAACGATCATCTGCATGAAACTTCTAGGCAGCTCCCTCACGGCGAACGTCAGAGACTGATCGACGGTCTCACATACGCCTCTGCTATACCTGTACCTGCCCCTGACATCGGTGCCAGTGAGAGCAGCGACCTGCAAGCGGAGGCACTGGAGGGTGGGCGTCACCGTTGGACGCAGTATCTCCCACTGACACATGCACAGCGCTCCCAGGAGGGCTGTCTGATATAGATGTAAGAAGGTTCGGCGCGCCATCGCTCCACGTAAGCGTTTCACTGAACTGAGTGTTTGAGACGACTGACGCTTGTTAGTTAGCACCCCAGTGCCAGAAGCAACTCGCTCACCAACTGAAAAACTCGTTACTTTCAATCACAGCCTATTATGAGGACGCAGAGACCGGTAGGCTACCCCTCATGAAATATCTCCAACTGACGGCACTGACCACTGCCATAGGTGCCGAGAGCATTGAAGCTGCATCGTCACTTGCGGATCGCATTTGGTCTCAGCGTGACAGTATCGAGCGCGAGCGCAAGCTCTCCGAAACGTGCCGGGACAGAATATCAATGCTAGTCGATGAGATTAACCAAGTACGTTGGCCTCCGAGTCGTCGCTCCGAACGCACTTCGTCTGACACGCGCGCGCTTGCAGATTCATCCAAGGCTCGAGGATGATCTCGTCGGCGCGCTTTCAACCCTCCCATCGATCTCAAACGCTGCGCGCACAGCAGAAGCTGACCTCCTGAGCACCACAATAGAGGCATCTCTCATGAAGCTCTCGCTCATGCGCACTCGTATGCACATCGCCTTGTACGGCCACTCGTCTCCGAACCGCCCCGACTCAAACATGAACCGCGCCCTTGCTACGGCAATGGAGAAACTGCGCGCGAAGGCGCGGGCTCAGGAGGAAGAAGAGCGCGAGCTGGATGGGCAAATTTCCGCGTATGATGGAATGCTCAGCCTGGTAGGCGGTAAGGACGGCAATTTCGCGCAGGCTGTCGAGGATATGGCCCGCGTGAAGCGCGAGACCGAAGAGTGTAGGAAGGACCTACGAAGACTGGGTTGGACTGGAGACTAGGACTCCTCGGATGCAATATTGGAGAGGATCGATTGGCATATATCCTTGTCTGTGCGACTGCTACTGTCAGTACGTATACATACTATGTACAGTCGACGTCATGATATCCGAGTCTACACACTGAACCACGATCGCTTTGGTCGATCGATCACGTGACGACGTTGCGGCTCGGCGCTCGTCAGCCACAGTGGCGGATCCCGGTGGCCACAACTTCTTGTAATTGTCTTCCAACCTTCTCTCTCCCTTACTCCATTATACAGCGGCTACTTATCTGCAAAACCTCAAGCGCTATCTCGGTCTTTGATCCCCATTGTGAAAGAGAGTGAGCAGGAAACTCTGTCGCTAGTCGGCGATGGTCATGAGCTGACGTAGTAAAGGCTAGTACCAGTCGACAGAGTCATGCCTGGCAAGTCTACGCTGCCGTTCAGCTATCCAGTAGCGGCCACTAGGACCCGGCCAGCCATATCAAAGCTTCCCATGGAGCTTCTCTTGGAGATTTTTATCACCCTCTCCGAGGTGATTGTCAAAAGGGAACGTATACCTGTCGTAGCGAGCGACATTGTGGCGCACGTTTGTCGGGACTGGAGGACTTTGGCCTTATCGACCTCCCGACTGTGGTGCCGCATCATTGCTACAGAGCGCTGCTCTCCTTTTATGGTGCAAGAGAGACTGAAGCGCTCAAAGACCCGTCCACTCGAGGTCCAGATCCTAGGACCATCGTCATCCGCAGATTTCTCAGAAAACATCCTGCTGGCTGCGAGCGCAATGTCAGCCCATACGAAGCGGGTCAAATGGTTCGCTCTCACGGGCTTTGACCTCGACTCTACGGAACGCATCGCGAAAGAGTTCTCCGGCGGCGCGCCTATCCTCCGTGCGTTGCATATCGAGGCACACGTACAAAACGCGTCACAAGGGAATATGGCTGCCCGTGCACTGACACTCTTTGGTGGCCACATGCCTGACATATGCCGAGCCACCATCGTCAGTGCGCCTGTATCCCTGGACCCCTTCTTTGGATTGAAGAAATTGAGCCTGCAAGATCAGGACTACATCACCGTGACGAGGGTGTTATCCACTCTACGGCGGTGCCCTGGACTTCAGGTGCTTCAACTTGGATTTGCCGAACACTGCTGGGACGAAGACCTGCGGTATCCGACGGAGCCGATCAACTCGCCATGTCTCAAGCAGCTGCTTCTAGACGGCGAACAAGATGAGGTGTTGCACACCCTCGCGCACATTTCTTTCCCGACTACGACCACGGTGGTCCTACGGATGCTTCATGCGTCTTCCACGGCAGACCACGTACCGCATTGCAAATCGTTCCAGGCGATCACATCGACGCTCAAACACGCTATCCTCGAATTCGCAGAGGTCCCGGGATACGCAAGCTTCAAGTTTTCGATCAGGTCTCCAGACCGTCGCGTCGTGGCCGAGTTCGAATGGCTCATGGCAGACGAGGAAGATGGCATCCACGGGCAGCCTTCCATGCGATTTGAGGTGTTGCGCTTGTCCGCGCTCGAGCATCTCACCGTCACCGGGCTTCCGCGATCCAAGCTGACACATTCCGCGGATTGGGGACGAATCTTCGCCATGATGCCAGCGCTCACGGCGGTCGACTTCGAGGTCAAGCGCCACCCCTCCGACCCGGCTGAGCTCTTCTCTCCGGTGATTCTCGCACTCAAGCCTGGTTTGATACGATGAGTCTGACAGCGTCGCTCCGGTGGTCCGTCGCCCGCGACTAGAGACGATGTACATGCCAGCGTGTTGGCAGGTGTCATCATATGTACCGCTTGTCTCCATACTCCCGGATGCTCAGGTGGCTTCGCCGTCGCCGACCCATTTCATGTCTCAACCACGGCGCCGATACATTACGCATTATGTCCGGCCTGTCTCAAAAATACGGCACCGTGGCGACGACTATAGCGACTGGAATGTGGTTGACTCGTTTTCTCGGAAAGGTGTCGTGTGCTACTTACTGATTCAACTGTCAACTTACTACTGGATGGACGACGACTTAGATAATCGTAGCATAAACCATGCCGCGATGAAGTGCTCAAGCGGCTGTTGTTTGTACTTCTGATACCAACCCAGAGTTAGACTCTTGTACTATCTCCGGTGTATTCAATGTCACGGTCTGTTGTTGGGATTCGCGACCTCAATGTGACTGTCTGTCAACTGCCAGTGGCTATTTGCTGGTGTATATACACAGGAGTGTATGTGCCTTGCTCTGGCAATGCGTCACAGAATGGTTTGGCACTGTATCCTGTTGGTTGTATTATCAATTGATTACACGACTCAGTAAGACCTCGACTCATCATGCCTGCTGAACGTTGTACAGACAGCGAGATCGAGAGCTCGTGGCCGCCCTGCCTTTCTGAGTACGCTGCAGCTAGGTACCTAGATTTGGCAGACAGACGGTTTGCGCAATTGGCCGTGTGTATTAATATGAGATCTATGGCACCAGAATGGATGAAAAGAATAAAGTCTACAGACGACTCAGAGCCACGTTGTGGCGGGGCGGAATGGAGCGTGCTGATTGGGCAGAAGAGGAGAATTGCCAAAAAGGGACAGTAACTTGCTGACATAAGGCACGGTGTGGCAGGATGACTGGCCGGGTCCTCAGCTCTGCAAAGACGACCATGGCCGCCAATCCTGCCTCATCACCGCCGCTATCGCCCGCCACCTCCTCCGGGTTCATCCCTCTTGCTCCTCATCCCTCTCATCCGCCCGAGCCTTTTCTGCGCGCAGTTCCCAGCAAGCAGCCAGCTTTCCCACCGCCCTCGCCACGCTCCAGCACTGCTCGCAGCTCAGGACAATGGCAAAACAAGAAGTATACGCGAACGGCGAGCGGGACTGTTCTTGCCCACCGGAAGTGAACGCCCCGTCGCTCGATTGTGAAGCCTGCGCTCACGACTGCGGGACCCCTCCGTGCAACGTCGAGCTCGGCTCCGAGTGCACCGAACAGTGCGTCGTCGTAGCATGCAGTGACGCGCATCATGCGACGATACCGTGCGATACGGCCGTGTTTCCTGACCAATGTGAGCCATGTAACATGACCTGCGAGAGCGGCCCCGACTGCACCGCATTGGAAGAATTTGTACGTCTAGAATCGTTGGCTGGCTGCAATATCGTGTCTGACGCGGCTCCGCTAGTTTCAATGTTGTCCAGACTACTACGGCTACATGCCTGACCCAAAAGCGTTCGCATCCGACATGGCGGCCGGTCACTCCGACATAGTCTGGGATCCTTCCATGGCCGCCTTCCTATGTGGATGCTCCGATGCTCAGCAAATGGCAGGCATGCCAGGTGGCTATGCCAACCTCAGTGCTGCAACATCTACTGCATCCACGCCGCAGCTAACCCCGAGTCCCGTCGCTTTCAACTCTCAGGCTGGGCAGCTACTCCAATCGACCACGATGCACTCTCACATCAATGCTCAGATGCCCCAGATGCCCGGCAACGTCCCTCAGTATTACAACACCCCGCAATCTACGCAGTCCCTACAGCCTCAAGCACTGGCGCACAAATGCCAATGGGGCGGGTGCTTCGCGTCGTTCGCATCCCTCGCAGAGCTCGTCGGGCACGTCAACCTCCAGCATCTCCGCCTCGTTTCGGCCACTCCCACATCGATGTCGTCTCTTCCGCCGCTGCAGATGCAGCCTGGACACCAGGCCGTCTCACGGCAACGGGATTTCCGTGATGGGCTCTCGTGCATGTGGGCCGATTGTCACTTATACCGTTCCGCAGTCCATCGGGCCCGTCGACCGGAACCCATTCGACAGCGCTCTGGTGTCCTCGCGAGCCACTGCTGGAGGACCACCTGGGTCTGCCTCTGCGTTCGCCGAAGGGAGAGCAGGCGCCTGGACAGAACCACTACAAGCGCCGTCTCGGCCGCATCGAGTGTCTCACCCCTGATGGGTCCACTGGCTGTACTCCCCGCCGACGCCGCTGCCCGAGCACGACTGCTCTGCTTCTCCTGTACATGTTTGCCGTTGGGAGGGGTGCACGTGCACCTTCCCATCCTGCGACGAGCTCACGTCCCATATAACGGCAGAACACGTCGGTGCTGGCAAGGCGCATATGATGTAGGGGAAGCTGTACCCGCTATGGCGAAAAAGGGTTTCGAGCAAGCAGAATATTGCGGCACTTGCAGGTAAGAGCGCCATTCGCTTTCCCTGGAAACCTACTGACTGGTGTTGACACGCAGAGTCATACGGGCCATCGACGTTCCAGTGCGAGATCGTGGCAGTACTTCTCGGAGGCCGCAACCCTCGCGCAGCACAAGCGGCGGCATACGCAAGAAAGTGAATCTCCCTCCTGCGAACCTCATATGCATACCTAGATACTCACGACCATTTACAGAGCCATACGTCTGCGATTTTCCCGGTTGCGGCAAGTCGTTCGCCATCACGGGTGCGCTCACCATCCACAAGCGCACGCACAACGGCCACAAGCCGTTCAAGTGCACATATTGCGACAGAGCGTTCGCGGAGTCATCGAACCTCTCCAAGCACGTAAGGTCACCCTTGACATTTCTCTTTTGATTGACTAACGGTTCGATGATGCCTCGCGTAGTTGCGGACACATACAGGCGCGCGGCCGTACTCGTGTACAGAGCCCGGGTGCACAAGTCGTTTTGCACGGCCTGATCAACTGGCGAGACACCA